GCGAGTTGAAGCCGCGGTGGCAGATGACGCAGCGCATGCGGCCCGCGGTGCCGGCCGCCGAGTCCGCCGGGTGGAAGTCCTCTGGGCGCGCGGGCGGGGCCCGGGGGGTAGGCGGGGAGAGGGAGAGAGAACAGCCTCGTTAGAACCCGCGTCGCCGAGGCCCCTCACCTCCACACCCCTCCCCATCGCGCGCCCCTCCTACGGCCCAGCCGCCTCTGACTGATTGGGTCACTGGCAGAGGGGTGGGAGGGGCAGCAAAGGATCGAACAGGATCTCACTATGCTGTGAGATCTCGGGGACTTAGAGACTTACCTTCGGGAAGCCTCAACTTTCTCATCTGTAAAATGGGAACCTACTACGACCTCATGGGGCTATGCATGACTCCACGGGATGATCACGAAAAGCTGACATCTTTGAAGGTTACTCTACAGAGCACTTTACCTGCCTGAGCCCGGACATAGGAAGTACCTGGCTTAGAGAAACCTCCCATAAATGGTAGTAACTATTGTAACTCCTCCTCACCACCCCCCCAAAAACCTTTCATTTATTCATCGCACAAATATTTACTGAGTGCCCACTATGTAGCAGTGAACTGCGTCTCACTTTTCTCATCCCTGAAGTGGATGTAATAACAGCATCACCCCTAAAAGTTTTCTGTAAGGATCAGAGAAATTGTTTGCGAAACATTAGCTGCAGAGCAAGGGCTGGTTAAACAGTAGTTCATGAGCCTCAGGTTCATCCTCTAAAAATAAGGATAAACAGGTTTCACAGGGTTCTGTGAGGACCCAAGTGGGATAATACCTGTGAAAGGTTTAGCCCAATACTTGGCAGAAAACAGGTCTTGAGCAAAGGGTCTCTTCCGTGATGATCAGTGTCCTTCCCAACACACACATAGGCACACTCTGCTCTGCTTTCATTCAACAGGTTTATACTGAGCACCGCTCTGTGCCGGGCCCAGCACCGGGGACAGGGCAGGGAAATGTAGACTGTCAGAGCTGGCAAGGAGCTTAGAGATCATCTCACCTGACATCTGTCTTTTACAGATGGGGAAACTGAAGCACAGAGCCGTTTCCAAGTTCTGCACAGCAGAACTGGAACTCAATCCAGGCTCCTTACTGCCCGGCCCCTTGCTCCTCCTACCACACCCCTTACTGCTCCCCCACCCCCAGTCTGCCCCTAGACAGTCTATTTTGTCCAGAAAAGAGAACTGACTTTCAACTATGCCTGGACCATGGGCACTGGCCTCCTTGATCCAGTAGCCCCATGTGCTTGATGCTCCTAGAGGTGGAACCAGGGTCCCCAGAGGCCAGGAGCATTCCTACCCCTGACCCCCCACCCCGGGTTCCATGTGTCCCTTGTCATTGTGCCCTCCTGGGAACCACCTACCGTGTTTGTTCTTTTTCTGCTCCTCCTCTAGCCCAGGCACACCGGGGATGCCCAGGAAGGTGTTGTGTGAGTTTCCATACCACACTAGCAGCTCCTGGTCGGGAGGGATCATCTGCAGGGAAGGAGGCAAGAAGAGGTCAGGGAGGTAGTGGCCCGAGGGGTGAGAGTCAAGGCTCTCTGCACCTCCCCTCACAGCCAGGAGGGGCTCCCCTGGTGCCCACGATGGAGATGTGGATACAGTCTCAGCCCTGGAAAAGCCATGCTCCGGTCCCTTCCCACCAGGCTATCCCCGGCAAGCTGCACACACATGGAAGGCCCTGGGATGCTCTGCTCATCTGCTTTCCTCCGCCTCACCCTTCTTCGCCATCTCTGTCCTAGTTGTGCTACTGGGAACAGAGCTGCCTCCCTGCCACATGGGAGCTCCCAAACCAACAGCAGTGGAACAAGCAAGCAGAAGTAACGGAAGAAGGAAAGCTAGAAAACTTTTCATTTCTTTCCAAGGGGAACCAGAACCAGCCAGCCCTCAGGTCCGCAGGGCTGAGCCAGATGTTTCCCGTGGGCTGCAGGGCACCCTGTGGTTCTTGTTTACACCCAGCCTGATAATGTTCTGAAAGCATCTCTCAGTCAGAGCGTCCCCAGGGCAGCACCACGTCACACATGCTTCTCTCCCCATCGCAGGGCTCTGTGTGACTCCATGCATGTGGCAAATCTAAAAAAGAGGCATTTGGATGGATGAACGCCTCCACCTCCAAAAATACTGGGGCGCATAGCCTTCAACAAGATCTGGTTCTCCATGTCCTAGGTCTGTGGCAGAGGACTCCACCAATGGTGACAGAACTCTGCTGCTCCCAGGGGAGGATGTGTCCCCTGGGAAACGGTGGAGGCTGTCAGGAGGGAGGGCTATGCAGTGACCACCCAGGGAGGCCCTGGAAGGCCTGCTCCTGAGGTGGTGCTGACCCTAAACCCCCACTCTGGGACATCCCTGGGGCCTGCCACACTTTTGGTGGAAGCCAGTTACTCCTCAGAGTAAAGAACCTTCAGGCCTCAGCTGGTTGGAGCAAATAAGAGATAAGGATTGTCCATCACCTCCTGAGGCCTGGACCCCAGAGCAGCTGACTTTGGCACCCATTATGAGGGTCACTCTCTGATCTGCCCAGAGAAACATGGACAGCCCCAGGCCATAGCTGGATTGTTTTCCTGGTAGGTCCTCTTTTAGTTGAAGGACAGAAGATCACAAGGTTCCATCTAGGGCTGTCTGAAATCGCACCAGAGTAGGACCCTCCTCCTTGGCCTCCGTGGTCACAGAGAAGCCTCCCAGCCCTGCCCTCTGGTTCTGGCCTGCAGACCCCTGCCATACACCAAACTGTTCTGTTCACCACACCTTCCTCCTCTGATCAGAGCCAGGAAGAGCCTCAGACCATCACAGCCGACCCTGTTCGACCCTGAAAGGAGAGGAAAGCGGGGAGAGGAGGGTGTGCGAGAAAGAAAGTTCAAGGGGGCCCAGGGACGTCCATGCCCCTTCCCAACAGGCCCCATGGCCCATGGGGTGTCACGTCAAGCCTCAGAGTCAGCGAGCGACGAGGAGCCGGGCAGGGTGCCCGTGCTCAGACTGACGGGGTTTGACCATGGAAAATCCAGATGCATCCCCTGAACTGACGGAAAACTGGGCAGCGGCTCAAAGAACGGCAGATTAGGACCTGGCACCACAGCTAAGACCTCAAGCCTCCCTGGTCGTCCAGTCATGACCTCTGTCCAGGAGGCTGGCGGGCCAGGGCTGCTGGAAAAGGGGTGAAGGAGAGAGGTTTTGTGAACCCCTTTGCAAAGAGGACACTGGAACTAAAATATTCAAGATAAATTCACTGTGAAGGAAGCTGCTGAGAGACTGTGCTGACGAGCCCTCGGTCACCAGGTCCCTAAGTGACCCTTAGGCAAGCATTTTGTCTCTCCTAAGCTTGTCTCCTCCCTGAGGTCCCCCCACCTTAAGATTTCTGATTGTAAGTCGCCTCCAACATTGGCCCAACCCCTGGCTTCAATTCTCAGATGACACCAAATGGTTTACACATCACGGTTCTTCTAGAAGCAGCCATCCCCTCCATCCAACTGTCTGCACACGCCCCTTCCTTCAGGAGACGGTACTGCCGAGGGTTCCGGCCCAGGCCCTGGGGTCACATGTGCCGGGGTCCACTTGGGCTCCCCACCTGCTGAGTGTGCCAGCTTGAGCAAAGTGCCTTCTGTCACTGGTCCTCAATTTCCCCAACTGTAAAACAGGGACAGCACCATGGCTCTGGCCTCGCTGGGTGCTTGTCGCGGTTCCACGGGGCTGCGCGCACAAAGCTATTGTTACTATCTTCCGTGAGCTTGCCAACCGCTGGGAAAGCTGCTGGTCATCTCTGGTGCCCGGGCTCTCTCAGTTGTCCTCACAGAGTCTGGCATAAAGCCCAGGATGACTGATGGCTTTGCCTTCGGTGACCAACGAGAAGAGCACAGGCTGGGCCCTCATGCCCCCAGGACAGCAGTCCCATGCTGGTGCCACTGCTTCCCCCGCCCGGTCCAGTGTGGGGTGAGAGGTCCAGCTAGCTCCCGGCGGATATCGCCTGGAGCTGCACCTGCACATCCACCTCCAGACTTGCAGTCTGGGAGTCAAATTATCTAAGTAAAAGCTGGCTTTTCTTTTTAATTGACAATAAAAAAA